ACCGGCCTTCACGGTAAAGCAGATCCACAAACACACTGGACTTTTTGCTTGAGTCTCAGCGAACTGGTGCAACTCCACAGCTCCTCTACGAAATAAAGGGCTTCTACTCTCTAGGGCCTATTTTCTCCTCCTTTTTTTTTTTTTTTTTGGTTGTTGTTGACTGCCTTTGGCTATGAATGAAATGGTTAAAGTTACCAAGTGTAAATGGCAAATAGGGCACATTAATATATTGATCGCCAACCCTGAATCAGTCTTAGGGAAAATTTTGGGACTAAAAATAATTGGGTATAATTATGTTGCTTATTTGTGGGCAGCCAACAAGGATGCCAACAAGGCAGAACATTTAAAACGGTTGCAATTTTTCATGTGGAAAAAAAGATACATATTTTTTGTTTTGAAAGAATAAAAAGTAAATAAGTCTCCCAGAATATTTGTTAGGGAATTTCTGCTATGACTACTTTCCAGGTGGCTCCCACATCCTTCCTGGCTAGTGTGACACATGTGGTTTAAGTGCACATAGACGCACTTGAAAAGAAAGATTCTCAACCCAGCCTTCCACCGCCCAAACATCTTCAATTTCTTCCCCACCTGCTGGCTGACTTCTGAGAGTCTTAAAATAGAGTACAAAGCCTTTCGGTCTGCAAAAGGAGTCCAATCTAGAATGCCAGTCACCATGGAAAAGAGAGCACATGATTTTAATTCACCTCGGCTTCTAAATGAAAGCCGTTAGATCTTCTGCAAAGGAAAGAAGAGAAATAGGGAGAGGGAATCTTGAGGATTCCAAAAGGCAGGACTCCATCAACTGCCGACTGCCTTAGAAAAGTGGCCAGTGGCTGTTCTTTCCAAAGGTGATTTTGTCTGTCAGGAGGATATGGGTAGTAACCCACCTAGTGAGGATTTGCTTCAGGTTCCTGTAGCATATTCCTTTCTGAAATATTGCAATGATTGCAAATTAAGCACATACAGAGAGCTTTTGTAAGTGTGAGAGGTTTGTGAGCCACCTTCAATTACTCAAGAACCCCAGTGAAGACTCAGGTAGCAAGATCTCTTGTGCAATAGTTGATGCGGAAGGATCCAAGCTAAGATCTTGTTAACCAGAGCCTATCACAGTTTGGGAGTGAGGGTGCAGAGAGGAAAGTTCCCTTAATCAGAGTTACTGTGCGTCTCTTCACCTCCACTGATGGCCTCCTTGGAGTACTGAAAGAGCTCAGATTTTCCCTGGCATGGAGTCCTGCATGGGCCTGCAGCTGGCCCCCCAGCCTCAGCCCCTGTGACTGCCCAGCCGCTCACTAGCTAGTCCTGGTTCCTCAAACACCCGGATTCTTCCTTCCGCTCTGACAAGCCTGTCCTTGGGCCACTGGTATTCTTCCTTCAGACAACAGCTATTGCCGTGCTACTCACCCTGCTTGCCTTCCTCCCCACCCTGAGGCTGACCACACTTAAATGATCATGGGAGTAATAATGCATGCTCATTCGTTTAATGCTTCCCCCTTCGCTGGACTCCAGTAACATATAGAACTTGTCTAAGTGGCTAATCATTACCAACAAAGGCCTTCAGCAAAGCCCATGCAAGGTGCTCAGTAACTGTTGAGCATGCAGAAGAACGAATTAAACCTGGTTTAGCAGGCGTAGAAGGGCCCCAGGTTCTCCTAGTCCAAATGCTAATTTAGAGAGGAAGAAACTGAAGTCTAAGTAGCTTCATTGCTTTACCCACGGTCGTACCCGAGAACAAAATAAGAGAGAGAACCCAAATTTCATCACTGTCTCAGAACCCTTCTCTTTCCTCTCCTGGTGGAATGTTTGTAGTCTAAGTGATTCATGGCACAGGAGGGAAAAACAATCCCTTACAAGTTATTTGGAATCTAATGAAGTTTCGGGCTTGTGTTTTATTTAATACTTAGCTTATCCATAATGAGTCCCGTAGTCTATGTTTGTTCCACCTTTCTTCAGTTGCTGGATCAAATGTTGATTGTCAAAAAGAAATGATATGTTGTGGCAGTCTGGCAAACCTCGGCTGAATAAGCAACTGTTTAATAGGATCACAGGTGGATGTATTAGCATGCGGGGCAGGGAGAAGGGTATTTTTTTTTATTTTGTCCCAAATAAAAGTTGCCAGCTCAAACCAGGTTACCGGTGACAACAATCAGAAGTCTATATGTGCTAGGCTCATGAATGTTTCTTTGACTCAGTCATCTTGCCTTTCCCACGTTTGACACACAGAAATATTTCAAAGCCACTTGGTTCCCCAGTGAAACAGAATATTTACAGATTTCTTTCATTGTGGCATTTCACCAGTGCAATGGGAAGGCGGCAAGTTTTAAGAGGCCAACAAGAAGGAACAATGTTTTTATTTCTTTTGCAGTCTGGGAGTAGCCGGTTTCAGGTAAACATTAACTGTGTGCCATCCCTCTGCCAAGTGCTGGTTCAGTGCTGGGGGTGCCAAGATGAACAAGACATGGTCCCAGCCATAGAGAAGCTGCAGAGAAGCAGGGGAGAGAAGCGCACTGTCATCTGATTTCTGCACAAGGTGTCAGGGCCAGGAGCAGGAGGCACTGGGGCCCTAGATTCGAAGGGTCATGGGGATTCCTACTTCACTAGTGAGAACATACATGATCCAAAACTTAAAGGGTCAGCAGGAATTATCCAAACACAGGGAGCAGAAAAGTGTTCAAAACGAGGTGAAATCGTGAAGGGAAATCTGTCAAGGAGAACACAGGCTGAGCTCTCTTAGAAGACAGTACACTGCTGAAGACCAATGCTAATAAATGAAGCTATTATGCATTGTCAACTCCTATACTGAAAATCAGAGCTTCCACACTGCATTTGCAATTTATCCCCACAATTCTGGTTGTGGCAACACACCACCACTTCCACCACTTAGTCACTTAATATTGTTCTTTAAGTCAATTTCCCCTAGCCTTACCCTAAGCAAGATTATTTATGATGGCAGTAGCTTTGTCAATTAGGTGTACTTCTCTAACACTTACAAAATAAATACGTACCTATTAAAACAATAAATCAGGTGGCATCTGGAGTCGTCTTAAATACAGCCAGGGTATGCAAACTTCACTTTGCTGAGGAGATTGCAGGGGGAGTGTGACTAGTGCCCGGAGTGCCAAGTTTAAGGCCTGATTCCCATCGAGGAGCTCACTGATGGCTCCACTCGTGAAGCAATAAAAACAATGATTATAATATTAGCAACTGCTACTCTACAGTGAGTGCTTTGTAAGAGCTAAGAATTGAGCCAGTGCCGTGGCTCAATAGGCTAATCCTCCGCCTTGCGGCACCAGCACACCAGGTTCTAGTCCCTGTCAGGGCGCTGCATTCTGTCCTGGTTGCTCCTCTTCAAGTCCAGCTCTCTGCTGTGGCCAGGGAGTGCAGTGGAGGATGGCCCAAGTGCTTGGGCCCTGCACCCCATGGGAGACCAGAAGAAGCACCTGGCTCCTGGCTTCGGATCAGCGTGGTGCGTCGGCCGCAGAGGCCATGGGGGGGGGGGTGAACCAATGGAAAAGGAAGACCTTTCTCTCTGTCTCTTTCTTTCACTGTCCACTCTGCCTGTCAAAAAAAAAAAAAAAAAAAAGAGCTAAGCATTGCACATGGAGCTTTACGTACATTTGCTCATGTATTCCATACAGTGCTGTATGATATAAATTCAATCGTTATATACCCCATTTTAACAGAATCTTGAGTTCTGGCCTTTTGTTAAGGAGGAATATAACAAGGAAGACTCCCTGTGGAACTGAAAGATCTTTTCCCAGGCTCTGGGGGCCAGGGATCTGGTCTCAGGTCAGCCATTGGTACACTGTGGACTTCATATGAGTCTCTGGAACACTCCAGGATTCAAGTTCCCTTCTGCAAAATGTTTATCCTTGATGATCTTTAAGATTATTTGTGTGGTCGTCATTGTGGCATTGCAGGTTGAACCACTGCCTGCCGTGCTGGAGTCCCATATGGGCACCAGTTTGAGTCCTGGCTGCTCTATTTCTGATCCAGCTCCCTGCTAATGTGCCTGGGAAAGCAGTAGAAGATGGCACAAGTACTTGGGCCCCTGCACTAGTGTGGTAGACCCAGAAGATGCTCCTGACTTTTGATTGGCCCAGCTCTGGCCATTGAAGCCATTTGGGGAGTGAACCAGTGGATGGAAGATTTCTGTCTGTCTCTCTGTAACTGTGGCTTTCAAATAAATAAATTAAATCTTTAAAAAAAGATTGTAAATTGGAGACTCTTCTTTTTATCTGAATAGAAGGAATAATATCAACCCCATGGGATTATTGTGAAGAGTAAAAATAGGTAAAGTGCCGAGCTGAAAGATTGACTCCTGGTGGGAATGAAATAAGTGGAATTATAAAATAAAACATTAATCATAATAATCGATAATAATTTTGACATCTTCAAGAATGAGGCAATGATATCGCCATCAGGAAAGCAGTGCTAACTGGTCACGGTCTCAGGCAGCTCACTTCGGGATCTCCCATCAAGGTTAAGTTTATGTTCTTCACTGCTGGGGTGGTCAGTTTCCACAACAGTCTTCAGGATTCAAAGTGGCCTTGATGGTCTTCTGCTGTACCTGCGAAGACTGACGGACGCATCCACTCAGACACTTTTACAGTGAGGTGTAACTTCTAAGTCTGGGATCAGAAAGACCATGCGATTTCCACCTTACTCTGTCTCAGTTTGCTCAATGGGACACTCAAGCAGCCCTGCACAGAGACACAATGAGAAACGGAGGCTTTTTTCAAACATCCACAGGAGTGACCTGGGATGTGGCTCTCCCCGCCCCAGAGGAGCCTCAGTGACTGCAGCCCTTGCCAAGATCTTGGCTGCAGCCTCCAGAAAGACCCTGGGCCAGAACCACTGCGCCAGCCAAAGTATGTGGCTTCCTTTTATAAGTAATTCTTTTGATTGTAAAATATTTTGTATTAAATAAAATTACATGAGAGACCTAACAATGTTTAAGTAAAAGAATTATATATTAGTGTGTATATATATATACTAGAAAATAGAGAAGAATAGAAAGAAAAATTTAGATCAACTTCACCCAAAGATGCACCATGAAGTATATCAAATCGGTTTTTCCATGTCTAAGAGGTAGTAGCAGCAACAGCGCCCACCTTCTGGGCAGCTTATTTCTTGGCACGATGAGCTTGTGAGATTGCCGCAGCTTCCTCCACCTTGGAGCGGAGAAACTCGGGACACTCCAGCATGTGCAGCAGCTCCGAGTTGTCCATCTCCAACAGCATTCCCATGATCTTGCCCGCCAGGGGTGAGTGCATCGTTTGGATGATCGGGAACAGTCGTTCTCCTAGCATCCGTTTCTGCTCCTGGGGGGATACTAGGCTCGCTCCTGTGGCTGCGTCCATGCGGTGACCCAGTGAGGCAGGGAGGTCCGAGCTGGCCTCGTTCGTGAGCCTAGCTCCACACTCTGACCCACCCATTCCTGACCCTTTGAAATAATAAAGGGTTGCTTTTATAAGCTGCTCAGTTTGGGGTAATCTATAATGTGGCAACAGACAGCAAACACAAGTAAATTACTCCAAAGAGTAACAAAATATTTCAGTTGAAAGCATTTAGCCGCATTGCTACAATCTTCTGGCACCAAGAACTGTGAAGCATAAAGGAAGGGAAGAAAAGAGGAGAGGAAAGGCACGGAGGAGTCTGAGAAGTCTGCAGTGTGCGAGAGTAAGCCATTTGAGTTCACCAGTTCGCACTCTGCAGCCTGGGGTTTGCACACAAGTACAGGGGTAACAGCAAGGGATGCATTTACAAGCACATCCCGTCCACCCAAAGCCTCTTCTCACATCAGGAAGTTGTAGGCGATAGTTTGGAAGGAACTCATTTGGACAGCCAAAGCGTCATCTCACCAGCTATTCAGTTCTGATGAATTTTGAATAATGAAAGTTGGTGAGAATAATTTTCCACTTAGCGGTAATCATTCATGAGTGGGCAGTGCTACCACTATTAAATACAGCTCACTTTCCTGCTTTTATAAAGCACGTTGTGTATTGCAGGCATGGGTTTGGAACACTGCGAAAGCTGGTTAATTCTGTGCCATTTTATATTGCACCCATCCACAATAAGGCTTCTTAGGAAACTGGCCTGAGGCTGTTATGCAAAACATCCTCCTTTGAAGACAGAAGGAAGGGATTGCAATGTCCCCGGGTATGTTTTTTTTTATTTACTGTATTAGCTCCTCTCTCTAATGTGTAACCCTAGTGTCTTATTGCCTCGTTGCCTTCCTCTATTTTGTTCCTATAAGTACCTCCCTGGTCTTCTGATATGAGAATTACTTTCGTCTACTGTGGTTGTAGCAAAATGAGCAGTCTCATGTCCAGACCAGCCAGCATCATCACCCTTTTTCGAGACATACCTGCCACCACTCCCTTTCTGCATTTTGCAGTGTTTGGTGACCCCTCGGCTGGCCAGCTTGTTGCATGTGGGTGGGGATAATGGAGGAGCACTCATTTGCATCTTTGAGGTTTCACCTTAAATGTCATCTCCTGAGAAAGGCCTCACAGGATCAGTGAAGGGGGCAAAAGTGGCTTCTGCCCAGTTATTCTCCTGAAATATGTGGACATGCCTTTCCCGCCACTCGCTGTAACCTGGAGTTGCATTTGCTTACTAACCCTAGAGGAAGACTACATGGCTTCTTCTTTTTGTTTAAAGATTGATTGGAAAGGCAGAGTGACCAAGAAAGATGGAGAGACAAAGAAGGACATGGATTCTAATTGCAACCCACCAGTTACTGACTAGTGGATCATATGGAAGTTAACTTTTTGCTTTAGCTTCACATCTGCAAAATCAGAAACTCCAAAGTTTATGGAAAGGATTAAAAGAGTTAATGTATGTAAATCCCTGAGAAGAGTTCTTGGCACACATCAAATGCTATATAAACACCAGCTATTATTATTCTATTCTCCCCCTTCCTTGATCCTGAAATCCATGAAAATAGAGGTCTCTGTTTTTCACAGAACATCCCAGCCTGCAGCATGTGGCCTAGCCCATAGGACATGTTTTATTATCAGAGATTAATGTGAAATTCCAGATGCTGCTGTTCTAAATAATTTGCAACCTTCCCATCATGAGGGGTTTCTCGGTGGTCATTGTTCTCTATTTCTGCCTGCTCTGGCCTGTCTCTCCCCCCGCCCCCGCACATCAGTCTCCCCAGATGCAGGTGCAGACCCAGGTTTCTTGTTGTTTATTCATGCACGAAAATTACAACTTTCCACTCCATGCTGCAGGTCTATCTTTGTTTATCCAAAGACAGACCTTTTGAGTCAGACACACACACACACACATGCACACATACACATGTGCACACACAAGGACACTTCAAAAAGTTCAGGAAAATGGAACTGAGACATTTATTTTGATGTAAAAATTTTTTGAAATCCATGCATAGTTTCTTCATCTGTATTTCTGTGAACTTTTTGAAGATTACATATATGCATGGACTTCAAATCTTTGCATCACAATAAACTTACCTTTTAGTTCCATTTTCCATAAACGCTTTGCTATTAGCCATCAAAACATATGAACATGGTTCATAGCCTGAAAGGAGTTGTTAAGACATATTTTTGAGAGCATTTGTCAGGTCTGGTGTTGTAGCATAGTGGGTAAAGCCGCAACCTGAAGTGCCAGCATCCTATATGGGCACCAGTTCTAGTCTTGGCTGGTCCACTTCTGATCCAGCTCTCTGCTATAGCCTGGGAAAGCTCAAGTACTTGGGCCCCTGCACCCACACAGGAGACCCAAAAGAAGCTCCTGGATCCTGGCTTTGGGCTGGCCCAGCCCTGGCTATTACAGCCAACTGGGGAGTGAACCAGCGGATGGCAGATCTCTCTATCTATCCCTCTCTCTCTGTCTAACTCTTTCAAATAAATAAATAAATAAATATTTTAAAAAATAACAAAAAAGTATGTGGCTTTCTTTTATAAATAATTCTTTTGATTGTAAAATATTTTGTATTAAATAAAATTACATGAAAGACCTAACAATGTTGAAGTAAAAGAATTATATATTAGTGTGTGTGTATATATATATATATATACTAGAAAATAGAGAAAAATAGAAAGAAAAATTTAGATCAACTTCACCCAAAGATGCACCATGAAGTATATAAAAGATCTTCAAAAAGTTCATGATAAATGCATATTATGAAAAAATATGCATTGTTTGCAATTTTTGCATCAAAATGAACTTATATTTTAATTCCATTTTCCATGAACTTTTTGATGTACATCTGTACATACTGTCACTGTCAACATTTTCGTATGTTGCCTCCATCTACTTCCAGACTTTACTTTTCTGTACAGCTTTGCTATGTTTGTGCGTGTATATGGGTATGGTTTTGGGTGTGAGTGTGTTTTCGTGTATATGTGTATATTTGTATTTGTATGTGGGCATGTACATGTATGTGTGTGTGTGTGTGTGTGATGTTAGGCATATAAGCAGCCACATGTGTCCTTTTCATTCACAATTCTGGTTCTCTTTAAGATTTATTTATTTGAAAGACAGAGTTAGAGTGACAGCAAGAGCGAGAGGAAGAGCGCGCGTGTGCGCGTGTACGTGAGAGAGAGAAAGATCTTATATCTGCTGGTTCACTTCCCCAAATGGCTGCAACGGCCAGGACTAGGCCAGGCCAAAGCCAGGAGCCTGGAACTCTACCTGGGTCTCCTACATGGATGGTAAGAGCCCAAGCGCTTGGCTCACCCTCTGCTGCTTTCCAAGGTGCATTGGCAGGGAACTGGATCAGAAGTGGAGCAGCTGGGGCTCAAACCAGTACAGATACTGTGTGCCCTCATGGCAGGCAGCATCCTAACCTGAGATGCCATAATGTCAGCCCCTAAAATTATGTTTTTAAAGAAATTTCCACTGTCATCAGGCCCTTGACTCAGGTTGCCATCCAGAAGAGCACAAGACTGCTGGATCCCCAAGTTGGAACTCTTACCTAGTTGCCCACGCTGCCTCCATTTCTTCAGACTGTTGATTTGCAGAGTTCAGAGCGGTGATTCGGAGGCAGGTTAATGGGTAGATTCCATGCGGGGCCCTCACACTAAAATCACAGACCTGTTTCTTCCCAGTGCACCCTGGCTGCTGCAGCCCTGAGAGGAGAAAAGCGTTTTCCTTCTTTGTGATGACTGTGCAAACCACAGAGAATTGGTTTCACAGCTCAGGCTAACTGCACTGTAGGAAGACAGTGCCACCAGGGCCACAGACTGCTGCCTGCCAGTGCTCACGGATCCTGCCAGCCTGTGCTCTCTCTGCTCTCCGGTTAATGCCTCATCCTCACCCACACTGCCCCCAACACAGAAGCTCTCAACAAAAGGGGTCCCTGTCACCTGACTTCTTTTAGTGTCGTAAGCATCTGGCCCTTCTTCACCTCGAGCCTTTCCCATGGCCTTCCTTCTCCCCAGTGGCTCTCCCAGAACCACCCACTCAAACTCCACTCCATGTCAGAGACCGTCCCAGAAGGACATGCCTGACCAACCTCTCCCAAACAGATGTTTTTTGCTATTCTTTCTCTCAGTACCCGGGTTTCGTTTTGATTTTCGCTTTGGTTTTTCTTTATTGCACTTGTCAAAATTATCCAGTATTCACTGATTTGTTTTTTAAATATTCTTTGAGCATCCTTTTACTTTTTATTGAGTATTTCCTTTCAAAACCATATATTCTGTTGTGTGCATGTCTTTTTAATTTATGCAAGTGGTACTTGGTTATAGATCTTACTCTATTCTTTTATATTAGAATATATATATGTTACATATATTACCCAAATAGGTAATCTGGTCAGGACAGGACCAAGAATATTTACCCAGACAGGTGGTTCCCACATCCAGCTGAGTGTTAGAACCACTCAGCAAGTTTTAAAAATGCAGACACCCAAGCTTTACCACGAATCTGCTGAAGTAAAAACTCCACAGAGCAGAAATCAGGAAAATCCGTTTCCAAGCCTTCCTGGCTGCCAGTCCACAGATGGAAAATCACAATGAGCATCCCAATCCCTCATTTCACAGATGAGCAAATCTGAGCCAGAGGGACTATCCCTAAGAAAATGGAGTGAGGTGGGGCCACCTGTCCTGCTCATCTCTCTCTCTCTCTCTCTCTCTCTCTCTCTGTGTGTGTATGTGTGTATTTCCTTCTGCTAGACTTCAGGCTGTCTTTGGGCCCTTGGAAGAGACCAGAGAATACAGATATAACTGTCTCAGGATACATCATTTGACAAAATTTTTTGCTCAGCCTCTCATCTCCATTCTCTCTCCTACCCAGAAATCCTGGTAGGCCTGCAACCATGGAAACACAAATCCTACACTCTACACCAGTGCCAGTCGCAGCACCCTGGCCATTCAGAGCAGTCTCCCAACGCTTGGGAAAGCGTTAGAATTCTCTCTGCTTGCCGGTCAGTGCAGGTGTTGAGGATCTAGGTCTCAGGAGTCAGCCACTCCCGATTCCAAGCTTGGCTTTGACATTGAGCAGGTGTCCGACCCGCGGCAGTGTGCCTGTTCTCCCCGTGGTGCTGGC